AGGTCCCTGTTCCTCACTTTGCCATGGTGGACCTTTGGTCCTGGGTCCTCTTCTGGATTTCTCTTTGCTCTCCCTGAAATGAGTTGGATGATTTGGCCTTGCCCAACTGAGAGATTCCGCCTTCCTGGAGGGTAGCCAGGACCCCAGTTCCAGGACCACTTTCCTGCACTTTTTCATAGATAGTCCTAAGTCCTTCAGCCTATGAAGGCTACACTTTTCTTCAAAATGCAAATAGACTATTTCTAATCGATCTCCTTTTATCTGGGGAAGTCTAGCATGCCCTCTGTAATTTGCTGGAGGACTTCCAGGAAGGGGTGTGTTCTCTTGGTCTTTGTTTTTGCATCCCTGCTCTGAACTTCATTCGCAGTCTCCCACGAGCTGCTCAGCTTGCTGTCCTTCCGCTCCACTTTGGCTCACATGTGGTCTGTGTTCTGCCTTCTGCATTGTCCAAGCATCATTTCAGCAAAGTGATGATGCATACACATCAGACTTCTACTGAAGGCTTGGGGATAACAGTGCAGCACCGCGGAACAGGAACCAGCTTACAGTAGCATATTAGACATCTTTGTTCTTCAGGTGCCCTGGCCATTCCTACCCGGGGATTTCTCATCAGCTACATTCCCTCTTAGACTCTAGCCTTCTGCCATTCTCTCTCTCCATCCCCAAGCTTTAATCCCGTATTCTCTCTCCAGACTTATTCCTCCCACCCATCATTTAGCTACCCTACAATAGCAGGTAAGTTCCTAATGTCTTACTAAGCAGGGTAATCAGTAGCCTTATTGTAACTCTTGCATGCAGATAAGCTGAGACTCTTCCTGTCATAAGCAAAAGGCTCATTAATCAGCTTTCAAGGAAAAAGCACCAGCTCCTTTGAGATGAATTCTTCCTGCTGGCTATCTATGATGTAAAACAGCCACTATTACAGAGTGCTCACAAGTTCTGTGGGTCAGGTGAGGGCAGGGCAAAGACAACTTGTCTCTCCTCCATGTTGTCTGAGGCCTCAGCTGGGGAGACTCAAACAGACTTGAAGGGGTAGAGGATGTAATCTTCTGAAGGCTTCTTCACTCATATGTCTGGTGTTTAGTTGTCGTAAATTGAAGGCTAGGTCAACTGAGACTGTCAGTGGAAGCATCTACATATGACTTAGAGCTTTTTCTTATAGCTTAGGCTTCCTGACAACATGGCAGCCACTTGGAAGCCAGACTTTCTTACCTAGTGGCTCAGGGCTCCAGTGAACTGAATGGCCTTTTATTCTGTAACCTCAAAAATCACATAAGCACCCAGAAGCAAAACGATATAATACAGATTTTAGTTCTCAAAGAGAAGAATGTCAAAGATTTTGTGATCATGCTTCAAGACTGCTGCATAGCTTCCTCCCACAGAAAGATGACACACAGCTCATGGTATTAGTGAGTCTAGAGCCCTTTCTCTGGGGCTTTGTCAGGCTCTTCCTTCTGGCTAGTCCAGGGTTCCTCTAGAGTGTCTGGGATGTAGCTTCCCTACAACTTTCAGCCCTGGTTCAGGACAACTGGTTTTGGGCTTCTTATCTGTACTTATTGGGGTGTCAGGACTGGGAGGTGGAGGTTTGGGAGTCCAGTACACCTGTTATTGGCTCTTACAGCCACAGAACTCTTGTCTTGCGCCAACAATCTGGTTCCTTGAGGAGGTAGAATATGTATTTATTATTACTACCTCCACGGGCCTCCCCAAGGCAGGTTACAGGGGCCTGACAGCCCGTGCCGGATGTCAGTGTGACTGCTGACTCAGTTCTCATGGGTTGGAGTGGGTGATGCTGCTGCAGCAAGTCCTCTCTTATCATGAGAGTCCCTTCTGAGGTCCTGTTGCCCTTCCATCAGTCCTTTGGAGGAAAGACATCCTTGGAAGCTTGTCTTATAACACAATGGTCAGGAGCAGTGACAGGGTCTGTGGTGTGTAAGTTAGTCTCTCAGTCGTGTCCAGCTCTTTGCAACCCCATGGACTGTAGCCCACCAGGTTCCTCTGTCCATGGAATTCTCTAGGCAAGAATACTGGAGTGGGTTGCCATTTCCTTCTCCGGGGGATCTTCCTGACCCAGGGATCAAACTCAGGTCTCCTGTATTGCAGACAGATTCTTCACAGTCTAGGCCACAAGGAAAGCCTATGGGGGGCCCCCACAAACTCACACATTCTCCAAATAGGAAAGTTCACCCATCACCCCTACCCAAAAAATGAAATAAACCTTCACAGAGTCACAATGGGTGATTCTGGAGTCCCAATCCACCACTCCTGAGGTTAGGGGTGTGCCAGGAGTCTCACCATCAAGATGTGGTTCAGAAGCAGTAGTTCTGTTTGGGAAGCAGATCGTGCATGTCAGCCTATAAACCCCCAAGGGAGAAACAGTGTCTGCTTGCTGTATATAGCATTCTGCCGAGCAGCTGGCCCTTGGCAAATACAGGTTAATGATGCTTTGGGGCAGCTCTGAGTGGTTACAGAGATGATCAAATTGCACAGTGTGGCAAATTTCAGAGCTATAGAGAACAGCAAGTTATGTAAGTGAGAGAAGCTGGCTGCCTGGGAGGCTGTTGGGAGAAACATGCTCCTGTAAGGACAGAAGCCACTTCTCTGTTCTGTGCCTACCATGTGGAAGGAAGACCCAGAGTTGCCAGGTATTCTTAGTTTTTAAGACAGAACAAAAGCCCAATCAGACAAATTTCCCAATTTTTGTGTCGTCTGCTTGCTGCTGCTGCTGCTGCTAAGTCACTTCAGTCATGTTCGACTCTGTGCGACCCCATAGATGGCAGCCCACCAGGCTCCTCTGTCCCTGGGATTCTCCAGGTAAGAATACTGGAGTGGGTTGCCATTTCCTTCTCCGGGGGATCTTCCTGACCCAGGGATCAAACTCAGGTCTCCTGTATTGCAGACAGATTCTTCACAGTCTGAGCCACAAGGGAAGCCTATGGGGGGCCCCCACAAACTCACAGGTTCTCCAGATAGGAAAGTTCACCCATCACCCCTACCCAAAAAATGAAATAAACCTTCACAGAGTCACAATGGGTGATTCTGGAGTCCCAATCCACCACTCCTGAGGTTAGGGGTGTGCCAGGAGTCTCACCATCAAGATGTGGTTCAGAAGCAGTAGTTCTGTTTGGGAAGCAGATCGTGCATGTCAGCCTGTAAACCCCCAAGGGAGAAACAGTGTCTGCTTGCTGTATATAGCATTCTGCCGAGCAGCTGGCCCTTGGCAAATACAGGTTAATGATGCTTTGGGGCAGCTCTGAGTGGTTACAGAGATGATCAAATTGCACAGTGTGGCAAATTTCAGAGCTATAGAGACCAGCAAGTTATGTAAGTGAGAGAAGCTGGCTGCCTGGGAGGCTGATGGGAGAAACATGCTCCTGTAAGGACAGAAGCCACTTCTCTGTTCTGTACCTACCATGTGGAAGGAAGACCCAGAGTTGCCAGGTATTCTTAGTTTTTAAGACAGAACAAAAGCCCAATCAGACAAATTTCCCAATTTTTGTGTCGTCTGCTTGCTGCTGCTGCTGCTGCTGCTAAGTCACTTCAGTCATGTTCGACTCTGTGCGACCCCATAGACGGCAGCCCACCAGGCTTCTTTGTCCCTGGATTCTCCAGGCAAGAATACTGGAGTGGGTTGCCATTGCCTTCTCCAGTGTTGACTGCTTAGTTACTGGAAAAAAAAAAAAAAAAACCTGCTCAGGACAAATGAAAATACGTTTGTCAGCTGGATGCAATAGGTGAGCTGCCAGTGGCAAGCCCTGTGATCCAGGAGGTTAACAGGCAAGGCTAGTTTCAAGGGAGTTGACCCCGATCCTCGGATTAGCGTAGGCTGGGCCCCACGGCGGCGCACTCCACCTCCAGGGACCTCGACACCTCCACCTGGACGCTGCCTCAGCTTGTTAGCGCAGCCTCCCCACAGCTGAGGCACTGAAAGGTCCTTCTTAGGCTTCCACGACCTCTGCAAGAAGATTATACCTTTAAATCCCCAAGCCAGGAGCCCGGGGTGGGGAAGGGAATGGAAGGGGGGGCGGGGCAGAACCGCGGCGCGGTCGGCTCTCCCCAGCCCTCCCCACCCAACGGGCTCGTAGACACTCGTCCTTGGGCCACCCTCAGCCAGGTGTAGACGAAGTTAAGCCAGTATACCTGGGTGTTTTTTGTTTTTTTTTCCCCAAAGGATTTTGAGTGGTAATGGAGGGAAAGCATAAAGGAAAATAAACAGAAAGCGATGGCTCTGAAGTGGGAGTGTTTACAGAACTTGGTCTTCAGAACCCAAGGGGGACACAGTATGCCAAGGGAATCTGGCTGGGTTAGAGGGAGGAAGAAGTGGATTTTCTCTCGGGTAAGGAGGAGGCTGAGTAGCGACAGTTTTAGGAGAAGGGGCACTCCAGTGGATAAAGGTTGTCCCTGCTGAAGGCATGGGAGCGGGGACACGGCGGGAATCTTTGAAATTCCGAGATAGGTATTCCCTTTCCTGAGAAGGGCGGCAATAGACCGTAACGGGTTTAAAGGATAAAGATCCCACGCAGAAGGAGAGCGATGGGCCGGGGGGGACATCTGTCCAGGGTGGCCTGTGTTGTCGGGTGTTCATCCCGGCCTCCTACGCCCGCAGAAGGGAAAACCTCTAAGTAGTCCCTGTCCCGGGAAGGTTTGAAAACAGCGGTGCCCTTGTGACTCCGGAAAAGATGGAACGGTTGCTATGGCGACGTAGAGCACACATCGGAAATAAATAAATAAGCAGTTCTGGCTGCAGCAGCCGCGCCCCCGCGGGACTCGAGCGCGGGGGAGGGGGCCCCTGCGGGTCCGGGTCCCCGCAGCCCGCGCGTCCCCGCCATTGGCAGAGCCGGAGGGGGGGGGGTCACCCCCCCGGAGGGGGGGGGGGCGAATGGTACAGTCCTCCGCCCGCGCCCTGGCCGGGCAAGCTGCAAGCAGGCGAGCTCGGATCCCCGCGCCGCCGCGGCCGCCACCGCCGCCAGCGTAGTCCGAAGCAGAGTCGGGAGGCGGAGATGGAGGGAGTCAGCAGCCACCGGACCCTGTCCTACAGCCGCTGGAGCTACGACAGGTAGGGCGGGCGCCTGGAGGATGGGCATCGCAAGGACCCTCCGGGCGGCCCTGAGTGGACGCTCTCCAAAGCTCGCACTTTTGCGGGAAAAGCCGGCCCTCGCGGGGTGAGAGCGGGTGTGATCGCCCAGACCACCCCCCACCCCCAATCAGGGTGCACTCGGACCCTTGAGTATCCGGGACGGTTGAACGGAGAGCCTCGGATATCCGAACCCGGAGCCGAGCGAGAGTGTCCTCACACTTGCGGGGCAGAATGTCGGAGGAGGGCTCCGGGGCACTGGGACCCGCGAGCTGGCACTCACCTCCCACCCCTCCCCCACCCCACCCCGGCTGCCCTGCGGGGGGCGATCCGCGCTGAAACAGCGCAAAAGAGCTTCCAGGGACTACGGGGCGGGGCGGGCCCGCGGCGCGTGGGGCGAGAAGGGGCGCCCCTTGAGTACGGGCCGCGCCCCCCTTGGCACTGCAGTCGCCGCCTGGGTCTGCCCCGCAGGGCCTCGGCGGGGACAGGGCTAGCCCAGGGCGGAGTGCCCCGGGTCGCTGTCGGGGACCCGCTAGTCGCTGCCTGCTGGGCGGATAGAGGTGGCAGCCCGAGGCCGGCTGCTGGGGCCCCAGGAGAGGTCCCCGCGCCCGCCGGGTTGCCAGGCTCGGTATCCGCCCGGCGGGGATGCAAAGCGGCTGCCGGCGTGGGCGGTTTAGAGCCGCGCTCCCCACGCACTCCTCCGGGAGGAGGGGATCAGCCATCCTGATGAAATGAGAAAAATAAGAGCAACGGAATGAGTCGGTCATAAAGCAGAGAAGATTTATTCTGAGATTTGGTTCTTTTTTTCGGTGTGTTAACTGTCACCCCTCTTGTTAAAATGAAGTCATGGTGATGGTAAATGGATTTTTGATGTTGCTTTTGTTAAAGTTCATAACCCCTTGTCAGTCTCGAGAAAGCTGAAGTTAATTGCTCTGATCCGTGGCCCTTATGGTGAGGGCTGGAAGAGACACTTCCTTAGCCGGGCTGCTCTCATCTCCCTGAAGTCTTACTTCCTGCCTTCTTCCTCTCTCCTCTGCTTAAAACCTTCCTGCATCTCCAATAGCCCTTGTGTTCAAAGATTCAGAGGAACAGGTGTCCCTCCTGCCTCAGGCTAATTCCCCTGGGACCCCTCCTTCCCTCCCTCCCTGGGTCCCATCTCCCACTGACGCCTTCCATCTTCATCTTTCCCTCGTTACTGGTCACCTCCGTCCAGCCTGTAAACCTCTTCAAATCTGTCTTGTCTCCCTCCGCAGGATAGGTACAGCTGGGTCACCTCTTTCTGGGCTTTCATTGCCTTCTTTAAGGAAAAAGATCAGTTTGATGCAGTTTCCTCATCCACCCTTCATTGCACAGCCCTAGCAATCAGCCTGCAGTTTGCCTCACAATTCCAGTGAACTTGCTCTTTTGAAAAGCAGTGCTGTCTATGGAGATGAACTCTAAAATGATTGAAATATTAACCCTAAAATAACAAAACTTTCCAGCATGTTGTTCAGATCCCAAACCACACATTCATTCACTTAATCAACAAACATGTATTGAGTGCAAACTAAGGGCCCTGGAGATAAGGATATAAAAAAGTACATTACTTCCTTCCCCGACTTAAGCTCACAGTCTAGATTCTCAGAGAAATACAGGGTAGCACATGCAGCAAATGCATCTTGGGACGAAAAAGCATGATCCATCACCCTTTGCTTGGATTCTGTCACTTGGATTCTCTTTTGTCCCTTTTCCTTTCCATTTGGCCTGAACTTCTTTCCCCCGCCAATATCCCTTGGTGCCAAGTGATTGTTGTACCATAGTCTTCTGGAAAGCAAGCTCAAACTCCTGCTATATAATCTGTAACATTAACATGAGATTATTTGTAGCTTAATCTTCCTTAGCCCACTACCACCACAGTAGTAGGCTTTAGGTGGTGTTGTAGTGCCTATTGATTAATTCAACTGTTTAATTATCATCTTTCTTCCTCGAATCTATTTGGCCTCTCAAATGACTGAGATTTCTGTTAAAAAAAAAAGTTGATGTTACTGTCTGTTGTATAAGAAATTAATAAAATTATCTGTTTGATTTGGGGTAAAAAAGAAAGAAAGAAATACATAGTAGCATTATATCAAAAGTCTAATACATATATGGGAGGAAGTATTTAAATTAAATTAATTCTATATAGTAACTAAACTTTTTTTCCCCCTGCATAAACAAACAAACAAAAGCAGCTAGTCTCTAGAATTACAGAGCCTGAATTCAAATTCTGACTCCACCTAGCTAAGCTTAAACACATTATTTTTCCTCTCTGAACGTGTTCCTTCATCTGTAAAATAGAGAAATATCATGAACTAGATGGATTAATAAACATAAAGGCCTTAGCATTCTGCCTGGGACGTAGTAATAAGTGGTACCTATTGCTGGGAACCCCCTGTAGCTCAAATGGTAAAGAATCTGCCTTCAATATAGGAGACCCAGGTTTGACCTGTTGGTCAGGAAGATCCCCTGGAGAAGGAAATGGCAACCCACTCCAGTATTCTTGCCTGGGGAATCCCATGGACAGAGGAGCCTGTTGGGCTACACCCCATGGAGTCGCCAAGAGTCGGATGCGACTAAGCAACTTTCATTGCTGTTTTATTAATAAATATTGTAAACATCTCCTGTGGGCTTCCCAGGTGGCGCTAGTGGTAAAGAACTTGCCTGCCAGTGCAGGAGACAGATGCAGGTTCAATCCCTGGTCGCAAAAAGTTGGACATGAATATAACGACTGAACACACATGTATTGTAAATGTCTCTTGGGAGCCCTGGTTTTCCACAGAAACTCAGTTTGAAAATCATTATTCTCCTTTATAGGCCCCCCACATTAAGATATTTCCAGGGATCCTGTCCTTAGAACTCTTTTCTTCTCACTCTGACAACCATGACACCTGGGGAGCTGTGTGAAGAAAACAGGTTCCCTGGCCCTTGTCCAAAGGAACTGAATCTGAATGCCCAGGTATGGGCCCTTGGAATCAATACTTGGGTAAACCTTCCCAGATGATTCTGGTACAGCTGAAACCACTGATATATACCACCAATTTCCATTTTCTAGTTACTACTTAGTTTTCAAAACATAAGAATTGAATTATTCAAAGAAGTTATTCAGTCCTCAAAAAAGCTGTTAAAAGATTACAGAAATGCAGATAGTGCATAGATATTAAAAGTGAAGTTCAGTGATTCTGTAGGCCCCCACCCCCAACTCCTAGGAGAAAACCACTGCTAACAGTTAGCCCTCACTTCCCAACCCTGTTCTAGCCTCTGTCCCCACCACATCTTTGAACCTGGGAAGGTACTCTCCATCACATTCCCATTGAAGTTGACCTCTGTGCTGTGTGTAACCTATTCATATAAGCTGTTTTCCCCCTTTGCTTCTCCTGTTTTGTTTGGTTTTGTTTTTTGGATTTTTTTTTTTTTTTTTTGGACCATGTCCATGCAGCTTGCTATATCTTAGTTCCCTGACCAGGGATTGAACCTGGGCCCACAACTGGGGAAGTGCTGAGCCCTAACCACTGGACCACCAGGGCATTCCCTCCCCTTGGCTTCTGAGGCCATTTATGTATCAGTTATCCATTGCTGTGTAACACATCACTCTTAAACTTAATGGCTTAGGATAGTAACTGAGTTAGCTCAAGATTTTGTGAATCAGCAATTTGGGCTGGGCAGTTGGGCAGTTTTTGTGGTCTGGGCCAAACTCAGCTTTTTTTGGCTACACTGGCTCACATGTTTGGTGCCTTAGCTGTGAAGGCTAGTCCACCTGGGGCCTCTCTCCTTCAAACAGGCTAACTCAGGTTTCCTTACATACTACTAGAAGGGTTCCCAGTGCTAGAAAAGAAGCTGTAAGGCCTCTTGGGGCCTAGGTTTAGAACGTCACTTTGCCACACTGTTACTGGCCAAAATAAGTCAAAGGGTAGAGAAATAAGCCTCACTCTCAAGGGAGGAGCTGCAAAGAATTCAAGGCCATTTGTTACAATATGTAACCTACATTTTAAAAATTGTTGCCTCCCCTTGGTTCCCACCTTCTAAATGTGAGCAAACGCCAAAGCTCTCTCTCCTCTTTTCCATTCTGTTCCATTTCATTCTATTCTCAGTTATCAATTCAATGCTTTTAACATAGCAATCCATATCTTCAACCCCAATCTTTTTAATAGATTTTTTAAAAGAATAATTTTTTTGTTGCACCAGGTCTTTCATTGCTATGTGAGGGCTTTCTCTAGTTGCTGCAAGTGGGGACTACTCACAAGTCCAAGTGCATAGGCTTCTCATTGCAGTGGCTTCTCGTTGCAGAGCACAGATTCTAAGGGATACAGTAGTTGTGGGTTGTGGGCTCTAGAGTGCAGGCTTAGTAGCTGTGGCATACAGGCTTCGTTGCCTCACAGCATGTGGAATCTTCGCAGACCAGGGATCGAATCTGTGTTTCCTGCATTGGCAGGCAGAGTCTTAACCTCTGGACCACCAAGGAATTCTTCAACCCCAGGCTTTTTGTTGAGTCTAGCCCTACATCTCTACATGCCTTACATCTCTACATCTCACAACTAAGTCAAGATATTAAAAATTGGACTCTTCCCTGATAAATCTGTATTCTCTATTTAGATTCCCTGATAGTCAAATGAACACCTCAGGACTTCGACACTGACCTTGAACTTTCCAAGTCTAGTCATTTCAGCTGTCTGTCCTTACCTCTACAACTGATTATTAGGAAGATAAAATGAGACGATATATCCAAAATAACTGGCACAAAGTATCGTTAACTCCATATGTTCTCAGCAACTTGGCACTTGGCTAACTGCCTTGTATCTGTTGAGGCTCCAGTCATCATCCCTGGAGCTTTCAATGCCCATGTCAATGTCTAAACCAGTACTCCTGCCAGTTTTCAGATCTTCCTATTCTAGAGGCTTCTCTTCAGTTATTTACAGGATACATTCCTAGATCTTGATACCTGGAATTGCTTGACTTCTGCTATCATA